ACAATACGTCATGCACACACCTCGGGAGTACGGGGAGATGTTGTCGTGTTTCCATTAGTATCCAATGACTTTCTTGATCTGCCCCGAAGTGGAAGAATATTTGGGCGAGGTCGAGGTGACATATTTTGCCCGTCTATTCCATTTTGTACAGCATGTGTGAGCCGAATTTCGTCGACCTCAAATATGAATTCCTTCCAAGGCAAATCAAAAGTAAACATGTTTCTCAGTGTTTTGAGCCATAAATTCGTTATAAACAGGTTTTCAGACACGGAGGACATATGAAAGTGAACACTGAAAGAGATGTGCAGTCTCTCTGTCCTGTCGTGCCACACCTCAATGTGTGAAACCGCAAATCTCGCGACTAATCAAGATGAAATACAGATTGAACTAAACATTTAAGCAAACAAAGGTGTAGGTTACCTTTGAGACAAGCTTTCCGAAAGACTTCTTTTCTGATCCCACTTCCTGTCCACTGCGGCGCGCTTTCTGCACAACGTTGTTCTGTGACATGGACCAGCAAAACTTCTGCATTGACACCTAAAGAGGGAATCACTAAAAAGCGGAAGTCGGACGTCAGCACAATAAACAAAGAGATACTCTGAGACCAAACGTACTAGATATTCCTGCTGTGGACCTATCACACTCCCCGGCCGACATATCCGTAACCATGCCATACATTCCGCAGCATTCAAGCCGAATTCCTTCATCATCCAGCAGGCAATCAATGTTCCGGTTCTGCCGAGTCCTAATCAAATGCAGTTATTTGCAGCATTTTAAACAAAAATTATTGTCAAACCAGCTTTGCAATGCACTGCAACTGCTCCTTTAGAGTTGTCAACGACACGAATAAATTTTTCAACAATATCTTCGGATGGCGTGCTTCCGTCAATGAAGAATAGGTCTACATGCTGGAATCCAGCGTCTGTGAACCTACAAATAAGTTGAGCCGGGGTAGCTTGAAATATAAAAAAGAGTCACATCAATGTTAAATACTATCGAAACAGCAGAAAGATAACAAAGCACAAACTTTTTGGCATCGTACATCCGCATGTTCAAACGGACGATGGTTGTTATATTAGTGGCTCGAAAATAATCGAAGTATGTTTCTGGCGAGTGATATGGATAACCTGAATGTACA